ACCCACCACTGCCTGACTACCATCAAGCAAGAAGAATCAGGAGCAGAGTCCTTTGCCCCCTGAGCCTCCTACCCTCAGAGAAAGACACTGGGATATAGTCAAGAAATGCCGGATCCAGATATGCTGACAGCAGACAAGCAGATATGTTGAGAGACAGAAGGTCAAAGCTGGCAACACAGGGAATCCAGGACAGATAAACCCCTCACGCCCAATAATGAGAGTAGAGATACCAGGAGGGTAAGGAGAAGGTAGGGTAGAAAGGGGGAACCAATGATAAGGATCTACATATAACCCCCATCTCTGTGGTGGGTGAAGGGTGACATCGGACAGTGTAAGACATGACAAAATAATACTAATTTATAAATTATCAAGGGTTCATGAGGAGCTGATACCAAGGGCTCAGGTAGAAAGAAAATGTTTTGAGAATGATGATGGCAACAAGTGTATAAATGTGCTTGACACAATGGATGTATGGATGGATTGTGACCAGAGTTGTATGAGTCCCCAATAAGATTATTTTTACAAGAAAATAAAAGAGCCAGTACTCTGAATTTGTAGTCTCCTCACTGTGGATGAAAAGTTTATATTTCTTAAAGTAATCCAATTTCGATATTTCTATGTTGTCGTTAGATTCCCCTGGGTTGGTTCCAGCTCACAGCCACTTTGAATATAACAGAAGGAACTACTCCCCGGTCCCTGCCCTCCTCAGAAACGTTCTCATGGTTCAGCCCATGGTCTAGAGAGCACTGTATATCTAAGACAGACTTTGGCACCTGAAAAGGAGGGTGCTGCGCTAGCAAATACCTAAGATTTGGAAACGATTTTCATATTGAGTAATGGATAGAGGCTATTGTTGTTATTGCTGTTGTTGGGTGCCATAAAATCTGAGGGGAACACGGTCCATCCTCATCAGTCTTCCTGTGTTTGAACCCATTGCTGCAGCTGCTGGGTTCTTCTTGTGGAGGGCCTCCTCATTTCTTCCTCCACTTTACCAAGCATCGTGTCCTTCTCCAGGGACTGGTCTCTCGTGACAACATGTCCAATGTACCCGAGACAAAGTCTCAAAATCCTTGCCTCTAAGGAGCATTCTGACTGTACTTCTCCCGAGAGAGATTTGTTTGTTCAAGGAGTCCATAGTACGTTCAATATTCTTTGCTTGCACTATAATTCAAATGCACCAATTCTTCATTGGTCTTCAATGTTTAACTTTCACATGCATACGAGATGAGTGAAAATACCATGGCCTTGGTCAGACTTATTTCATTCTTCAACATTTTGCTCTTCGATGCTTTAAATAAATCATGTGCCTCAGATCTACCCAATGCAATTTCTTGAGTACTGATTATGGATCGAAGCAAGACAAAATCCTTGACAATTCAACCTTATCTACACTTATCATGTTGTTAGGTATTGGTCCAGTTGTGAGGATTTGGGTCTTCACATTGAATTGTAATCCATTCCGAAATTTGCAATCCTTAATCTTCTTCCGCCAGTCCTTCAAGGCCTCCTCACTTTGGCAAGCAAGGTTGTGTCATCTACATAATTACAGGTTGTTAATAAACATTCTCCAAGCCTGATACCTCATTCTTCTTCCTATAATCAAGCTTCTCTGATGGATTGTCAATATACAGATTGAATTAGTGAACGGATACAACCCTGTATCATTTCCCCCAGTTTTAAACCATGCAGTATTCACTTGTTTTGTTTGTACAACTGCCTTTGGATCCATGTACATATTCTGCATGAGGACAATTAAGTGTTCTAGAATTCCCATGCTTCTTAGAGCTATCCTTCCTTTGTTATAATCCAAACAGTCAAATAACTTTACAGAGTGAATTAAACACTGGTGAATCTCTCTCTTTTGTTCTCTGCTTTCATCCAAGATCTTAGGTCACAGACGGAAGCAATGTGAAGGTGCCTACCAATAGACGCTTAGACAGCCTGACAGAGACTTTTGGTGGAATTGTGTTAAAGGCAAATACTATAGATAGCAAAGGCCTGGAGGAGGAGTGGTGAAGGTGTGTTTGTAGAACAAGGAAACTAGCAAAGTAGCACTAGATCATGCAAACTCTGATTCATTGCTTGGAAGAGCTTTAGGCACGAGGCTTCTTTCTGGAGTGGGTGCCTGTGGACAATTGTCAAGAGAACTCAGCTTGTCGACCCAGGGAACCAGAGAGCTGAGTGGCTTGAAAATGGATTTTGTTCTGCTGGAGATTATATACACACATATATAAATAAATGTATATTTGTTTTTTATTTACTTGGACACACATATAAATATATGTATATTTGTTTTTTATTTACTTGGTGTCCATTATCTTTTCTTTCCCTCAATTTGTTTCCCCTTTGTAGCAAAAACTGTCTACCTTATACCTTACCTATTACACTGTTATTCATTAGAAATATATAAGGCATATTCTACATTTCAAAGGTTCACGTATACAGAGAAGAATTGCTCCAGGGTGAAGTTTGAGTTTGGTATTGCTTTAATATTTTTGAAATGATATAATAAAGTGAAAATGTTTGCATGTATCAAGGAGATGGATTTTTTTGAACCAGAGTAGAATGTTGATGATGGAATTGTATCTGCTAAAAATATTTGTTAACTTGTTTGGGCCACATTTCTCAGTGGTTTGACAGTTACATAATGATCATTTATCGCTAATTTTCCTTTGACATTTATTTCTTTAAAGTTTGCATTCTGTTTTTCTGATGAAATATACCTTCGCTCACTTGATTAGACTGAAGGAAGATGCTTCTTTCTGTATCCTATCAGCTGTTTATTTGTCCAAATGTTACATCTAACTCTATGTGAAAGGGTTTTTTTAAATATATATTGTTATTGTGATGTAATAAACATATCATACAATTCAGTTGTTGAAGTAGAGGTATGCATGCATCAACACAATCAACTTTGGAACATTTTCTTTCTTCTTGTACCCATTGCTATTGACTTCTCCACCCCACCCCACCTCAACTACCTTTCCATGCCCTTAGGTATTTACTGTTCCAGTTAATATCTTCATAGATCCACCCGTTCTGACTTCCCTATGCAGAAAAACAGAAAATAACGAAACACACACACACACAAAACTCACAAACGCTCCAGTAAAATTGACCAAGTGAAACAGAGAAAGACCTCAATCGAAAAATAGTAGAGAATATTTTTTTAAAAACAGAATAAATTAAAAATGAATAAAAAGGTGTTACTTTCAGTCAAGCACTAAACACTGTAAGGAAAGATTCTTGGGAAAAAAATCATGTCAACAACCTAAACAGTAATTTTAAATAAACTATTATGAATACCACCCCTCTAAAGAAAGAAAAGGTGGCATTCCAGCCTAACCAAAGCTGCTAAAATCCACTTTCCTATGCCCTTTGCCTGACATTCCTATTCCTAGACTATGTTCCTTGGGGACTAACAGGAAAATCAATCAAATAGGGAACCTGCAAATGGATTTTGGCTTCCTCTACCAGCCATTGTTCTGTTAGATTTCTTGGGTGGAAATATCAGCTCCTTGGCTTCACACATGAAGGACTTCATGCCCAAACCAAGTTTGTGATCCAAGTGAGTGTTTATAGGTACAGGCAAGAGATAAAACTCACGACACATGGAACCCAGGAACGGGAATAGGAATAGCAATACCAAAAGGGTGGGAGGAACAGGGGTGGGGGGTGGGGCGGGCTACTGATCACAATGAATGGCACAAAACCACACAACCCCATCCAGGGGGAAGAACAACAGAACCAGAGAGAAGGGAGACAGCGGTTCGTGTGAGATATGAAAAGAATAACAATCTATAATCTATCACGGGACCACGGGGTGGGGGGTGGAGGTGGGGTGTTGATCCCCTGGGCTCAATAGAAAGTAAATGTCTAGAAAAAAACAATAACACTATATGTACTAATATGTCTAATACAATTGATGTATGGATTGTAACAAGAGTTGTAAGAGCCCCAGTAAAATGATATAAAATAATAATAAAAGTTATTCCTAAGGGTCAGTGATTCTTTTTAAATTTCTACATTAAAATATACCTCTGCATTCATACAAATTATACATTCAAACACAAAATAAAGTTAGTTTATTTTAAATAAAGTCTTATTTTAAAACATTATGACAGTCAGTTCCTTTATTTATTAAAACATTATATAGGAGAATGCTGGATTTAAGACATACATTGAGATCACAGCAAACAGGCATGACCCCCATTCAGTCACGCTAATGGTGCATACGTTACGGCATCATGTCGTTCTGATTTTCAGAAAGAATAGACTGAAAATGATACCATTATAAAAACAAAACACTCAAGAAAGAACAGGATCAAAGTCTACATTACTGACAAATATGAACACAATCATTAAAAGGTAAATAAATGGTCAGGAACAGTTGGTTGTGACTGATATACTATAACTTCACAGGGCTTGCAGAAGACCTGACACAATTTTCTTTTACAAGCCTGTTGGTTTGATAAATGTAGTGTCTCATAGACTCTATAATTCAATTGTTTATTCATTAACCAATGACTGGGCATTGATTAGGGATGTGCATCAAGCCCTGTCCTACTCCTGAAAGCACAAAGTCAAATATAATGGAAGATTTATGGTATACTAGGAGATTAGAAATGTATATTGTATTGGCTATATAACTTTTTCAGATGAGTCTATTCTGCACTTGGTTCTGGCTTTTTACTATCTGAGAATAAAGAATTTCATAATTAGAAAAATAGTTTAATCATCATCTAGCTTCCTGAATTCAAAGACTCTATTTTTTCCTTAAGAAAAGCACAATCACCTATACTTACATAAACTTTATAATGGTAGTATATTTCCAAAAAATATAAAGCCAGTTTACTAGTTTTTTATTTATCATTAAATAACTTATTCTGAGTTTGGCTAATTTTTGAACTAATATTATTTTATGTCATAATTGATTTCAATGAAGCATTTCTCTTTGCTTTTATTTTAATTATTTTCTGAATCTTCTTTTCTTTCAACAGTTTTGCCCAGTCACACCTGTGGAAATCCTGGAGAAATAATGAAAGGAGTTCTCCATGGAACAAGATTCAACATAGGAGACAAAATCCGATACAGCTGTCTCTCTGGTTATATCTTGGAAGGACATGCAATTCTGACCTGCATTGTTAGCCCTGGGAATGGTGCATCATGGGATTTTCCAGCTCCATTTTGCAGAGGTATTGGACAATGTATATGTACTTGTGAACTGACACCTGTATTAAATAAATAGATTCAGAACTGATATTATAAACACACACACACACACACACACACACACACACACACCAAGCTCACCGCCATTGAGTCAATGCTGACTCATAAGTCTGTAAATGATTTCAACAGTAGAAAACCCAGTCTTTCTCCCTTGAAGCTGCTGGTGGTTTCAAACTGCTTACCATGTGGATCACATCCCAATGTAACCACTACTCCACCAGGGCTTCCAATATTATACACCACCAGAGCTTCTAATACTGTAAAATATATTAATTAAATGAGAAGAGACCATGATACTATATGCTATCTAAGAAATGATTATAATACTCTATTTAATCAGTAACAAACTTATATATGTCCTTAGATCATTCAATTCTTTTCAACTTTATGGACCCTGCCTTATTTCATCATCTCTTACTCACTGGCTGCTCCTTAAGAGAACAATAAGGCTATCTGCTATAGAAAAGACTTACAAAGCACTGAAAACACTATATAGGGACACTATAGATTTGGAAATAATTTGAAGGCAGTAGGTGGGTTTAATATAAAAGCATTGTAGTATTTTATGTGTATGTTAAAATATCTTCCTGATTTAATTCCTATTAAGAGTTTCTTATTTATTCTTTTCTAATAAAAAAATCAAATACCCTTTAATAATTTAATGCATATTTTAAAATAGTTTTTCAACTTCTATAGGCCTTTGATATAAGATGAACATAAATGCATACATTGTGACAGGTGCCCATCATCATACTTGGGTGGAAAACCTCCTGAAGCCCTGAAATACTTAACCTTTCTTTTTTTTTTTTTTTAACATTTTATTAGGGGCTCATACAACTGTTATCCCAATCCAT